AACTCATCCATAAACAATGTCTGATCTCCATTTCGACTTGTCTGCAGCAAATGCTCGTGCTACTTCTAGGTCGCTGGCATTCTTCAAAGGGATGTCGTGCCCTGCCAGGTCCTTCATGATGGTGGTAGGGAGAGTAGCCGCGGGACGGCCCATTCGTCCACGTGACCCCGCTTGACAATAGCAGGACATCGCAAGGCAAGGGGGTGACTGCTCACTCATCCTCAGCACATGGCCAGTGAGGCTACGGCGTCGCTTGGCAACAAGCTCCGACAGTGGCTGCCAGCCACATCTGGAATACAGATCATCATTCGATAGAGAGTGCTATGAACAATAGGCGGCAGGTTATTTTGCATCTGTGATGGTCTCGGCTCGAACCTTCACTTCTGTGATTAATGCGGCCAATCTCTCGCAGCCGTCCACACCTTTCAAACTCTGATGAAGACTTCGACCCTAGCTGCAAGTGCTGCGATGCGGGAGGCCACAAACTAAAGCTTTTTTCATGGGGAGAATTTGAGATTGAGAAAGGACATAACAATAGCAAAAGCAGTGCACGTAGGAAGATGGAGAGAAATGATAATCTCATATTAAGGCTTTGTCCGTCGACAATGCTCTGCCCAATTTCTAGCTGATTTCTTTGCCCTTCGAGTGGGCAAAATGAAGTGGAAAAATTGGTCCGGGAAGAGACAATTGTGATGACGTGGAGGAAGTATGCATGGATTCAATAGTCGAACAGCAATTACACAAGCAAGTTTTTCTCCGCCGTTACTCGGAGTTTTGTTTTTAGTGACACTAATCTTACGGAAGGGAAAGACTTGGTTGCGTCATATTGGCTTTGTCCACCAGACATAGACCACTATACACAGGACCTTAGAAAACTGTCTAAACACGAATATTTTTAACGAAAAATACTAACGAATATTCGTGAGCCGTGAGGTTAAGCACAGCGTGTGAACTTTTTAGTGGCAGATCGATGGCTGCACTAGTGCGGGTACGGAGAGTCAAGACAGGGAGTTGTAATATTATTATTATTATTATACGCATTCCCGCGTTGAAGTGTAGCAGCAGTATGCTGCCGTCCACAGCTTCGCTTATGCAGAATGGCTTGGGTGAGAGGAGAGGGGAGAGAAAGTAACAAGGCAACCAACATCTATGAAATTGGTCACAATAACATGAAGAGAACCAACCTACATATGCATGATTGCACAAGAATGGAGACGACCAAATAATGGCTATAATCATTGTGCCACAAAAGCGGTACACAGGAGATCTGTCGACAATGTAACGAAACATAAAACTCAGTTACTCAATACAGGTTCCACTAAATTACAAGAGAACAACGCTCCAACGTTAGAATTGCCGCTAAATTATCGCAAGTGTAGAGAACGAGTCCAATACAAATGAAAATCATGAACAGACTGTTCCGAAGTTATTTTGGGAACAAATTGTACTACATGTACTTGCTGATACTGACGCTGACGGAACACGAATTTGAGTTGAATACTCACGAAGTCTGGTACATGCACATCATTATGCGCCGGTGTTGTGGAGTAAGCAGGTACGTCAGTCACCAATCCAGCTTCAGCTCCACGCTCGCATCAGCAGAATGTTGCCCGCGTTTGCTTTGCCTCCACACGGATAGACGACCAGCGCAGAGTCCCGCAGCTCCGTGGCCGTAAGGTCTTGATATTCGCCGTTAGCGCCGTCAAGTCTCAGTCCACCTCTCACACCAAGCCGCCCTATGAAAATCTTTCTCTCTCCATTGGAGTGCTCCCCCGTTGCGCGAGGAGACTAGAGAAATTCCTCCGATGAGCGAGGAAGAAGAGCGGAGTTACCCAACTCAACCAAACGAGTTGTAATATAGCAGTATTAAAGTACAGTAAAACCTGGTATAAGCGACCACCCCACCCCAGCGACTACCCCATCCCAGCGACCAACCCACAGTGCAAGAAAAAGTGGTCAATAGCCTGAATCGGATGGAGCATCCGCCGCTTCGGGTCATTCTCAACAGCAAGGAGAAACAGCAGCAACTCCGTTCGGTCCAGGTGACCTTCAGCAAACTCAAGGAGAAGCGAATCCAACAAATTAATTTGCTCTGCAACAAACGCAGCCATTGGACATCTCAACACCAGAGAGAGATCTGGTGTTCGCAAGGTGTTTGTCGCGCCGGAAACGGAGCATCTCTATAAGTCTTTATCCCTGGGGATGTTTGGGCCTGGGGAGCACTATAATAATTATATTGACTAGTGCTTGAACCAGGCCCAGGGAGTCGTATATAGGGAGGCGTATAATTATACGACTCCCTGGCGTGATCTTTTGCTTGATTTTTCGTGCGTCAGCAAAGTGAAAGTGTCCTTCAAAAGTGGGACTTTCCCTCCTTCTGCCCACGCAGAGTGTGATCTCGCTCTCAGCGTTTGTTGCCAAGGCTTTTGTGTGTCCGGAAGAATGGTTTTGAATGGTTTTGAGCTTGATCGAGTGAAATGGGGAGACGATAACTATTTCTGGTGTGGACTTTGTAGTGCCTGCACGGAATTCTTGCGATTTATCTTTCGTTCCGCGATTTTGTAATTTTATGCATTTCTCAAGCTTCTGCGCGGCAACATTTTATTTGCAGGATGTAGCCTTTATCATGTTGTCATTGTCGGCTACGTAGAGTACCATGCTACGCATAACCCTCGGAGCGTTGCGCAGATGTACCACTTCCTGCGAACTCTGCTACATGCTTATGTACCCTACCATATTTGTATACATGTGTATTGTTGTTGTTCCACCAAATATCCTTTACGAGTATCTAGCTCTTGCATTTAAGTCGGCTCAGGCTTTCTTCTTCTTCTTGCTTTTCCACTTCTGGACTTCTAGCAGTTGTTTGTGGTTTGTCTCTGCAAGTAGAATTATTCCCTCGTTGGACTGTCTCCTTGCCATTTCCTGTGTGCAATATACCGACTCTCACTGACTCGATACGGGGAGTTTATTAGTTAAAAGAACATTGTCTGCTGTACACGTGATTAGAGGCACGTTTCTAAACCCTCTAAACATTGGTGTACAGCTAGCGTGTAGCAGCAGACAGCAAAGATTCCCCTGGATAAGTGCCCAAGAGGTTTCCAACGATCCCATGATCATCTAAATCGGTGAAGTAGCGCTAGCAAGATGATGGTGATTGGAACGACCATGTTTGCAATTTCACCGATTTCTTGTCATCATTTATCACGGTAAGCGTATTGACGATAGGTGACTGGCACGAAACGGAATAATTAATTTTTTTTCTTCGCCCTCACTAATAAAATATTTTTTCATCCAGCGCATGTACCAAAGAGTGAATAGCAACTGAATAGAGCGGTTGTCAGTTGACAAACCCCCATATATTTACAATGCAGTTGCGTCATGGCCACCACCTTCTGCGTGAAGTGTATTAACAAAGGGATTAATGGACATCAGAGCATTTTAAACTTGTTCCCATTCTTTCCTATAGAATAGTATTCGTGGAGACAGAAATGAAATCAACGCGATCGGCAAAGCAAGTTGCGCATTTCTTCTGAAGAGATGGCAACGAACACGTTCAAGGAAATCCAACCTGTGCGATTTGTGCGTGTTTTGAATGCGCAATTTGCTTTCCTTATTGGGTTGATTTTTTTAAATAGTACATACCCAATGCTGTAGACAGCAAGCTGTTTCGGCCATAAATGCCTCATCGGTACAACTACTAGCTAAATAGGCTGAGCTACCAGCCATGGTGCAAAAGAGGCACCACAGACATTAAGATGGCTCGTGGCTCTAGCGCCAGAGTGAACAAACTACAAAAGGTAGCGGGCATTGCGTGATGCAGCAGCACTAGAGCAGCCTACTGAGCGTGCTCAACAAGACGAAAGCCGAGGAGCGTAATACCCAATGTAATAAAATAGTACATACTGAATACATTTGATCACAGGAAAAGACGAAGCCAGTTGTACGTCTGATGAGGCCGTTCGCACCATTACTTCCCACAATCAGTACATGGTGATAATTGTGACGAAGCACAACGACGCCAATGAACGTGTGCCTGTATGCCGGTAGATGTTATCACAACTTTCCGCTAATATGTTGTATAAATTGACATCGTTGTGCTTCGTTGCATTATCGCCATGTCTGATTCGAGAATGGTAATGGTAGAAAAGGCCTCATCAGATTTACAGCTGGCTTCGTCTCTTCGTGTGCTACTATTATGTTTCCCTCCCCTAAGTCTCTATACAACAAGTCTCTATAAAACACATTTTCTTCGTACCTTTGCAAAGATGCGAAGACTAAAGATCTGTCTGTAGTCCAGGACTAGGTGTGGGTGGTTTCTTGGATTTGCTATGATCATGACAAAGAACTTGTACTTTGACATATTCTAGGGCTCTTGAAAAAGAAACGTATCAATCACAATGAAAAATAATATAAAAATAACATGGCTTTGCGTACATAGTGGAATGGTCTAAGACCATGATTGAGAAACAGAGGGTACTAGGTTCAAGTCCTGCTTGGAAGCGGAAGGATTTTTTCCAGCCGTGCTGCGACCCACAGTTAATTGGGAACTCGTGGCCTGGCACTAGGAGAACATGGATGCAGTGTGATTTTCGGTCTTTGACCACTTGCTGGTGAGCTGATCTGCTCACCTCCCACCGCTTTATCCTTGAAGGGTGGTGGCGTTCCTACTGAGGCGGAAAACTCGGTTTCTAGCCGAGTTTCACGCGAACTGTGATTTTTGCGTACTGGGTGGTTCAAGAGCCGACTTTACGCTGCAGTACGAGACCACCACCCCAGGGCCAGGCGTCACAGCCCAAACATAATGCAAAAGCAGATGTTCTTGTTATGATTTGGGCTCGCGCATCCGAACTGGGGAACTTGATCACTGCGGGGCTCCCCGTACTGTTAGCACATTGCGCACTCCACTTGCTTGCAAACCTAGAGAGGTCGCGCGTACGAGCACCCCGCTGTCGTAAGTCAGACTGCAAAATTCCCCCGACCGACAGCTCACCAGATCAATGTATGGTTCATCGTCACCCAGTTGAGTAGAGTCGAGCAAGCTGCACTTTCAGTGCCGAGAGGCCAGCTCACATGCCAGTATGGCAACTAACACATGTCTCACCTCCAAGACTAATACTATTACATTGCATAATTATTGTGCAGCCATAGCGGGGCGAAATTGAAAAATATATAGCATATCAGGGAATCACAATTATTCACCAGGAATAATGCAAGGAGAAGAAGAAAAAAGGGACGATCAAATAGAGAGCAGAGTCAAGAAGAAAGTTATCAGTGTGCTGCAGGGCTTGAACGAGTAAGTACTAGAAACCTCATAGCCACATCGTCACATGATGACCTTCAATGGTAGGGGAGAGTGCAGTCGTTTCTGTACGCCCTTGGGTCCTGTAATACTCAGCCACAAAGACTGCACAAATCATGACGAAGAAGCTGTCAAGAAAACATTGGGTATTGGCTGCATAGGGGACATTTGAATTATCACACATTGAGAGTCGGGAAACTAGCTAAGCATGAGCTATACCTGAATTTTAAAAGAAGACTTCAAGAACAGAAACTTGTCAAACGTCAGGACACAATGGGGAAGTGTCACTGTATGGTGGAGGAGCAGGCAGAGTACTGTCTGGGTCGGCTGAAAAGGTGTAGGTGGGGACTGGCTCCCCGGCGGATGCGTTGGAAGCATACTCCTGCGCCGGGGCCGGCATGCAGGTGGAAGAGCTGTGCATTTGCTGGGCCATTGTGTGGGCAGTGCAGGCACCCGGATTTCCTTCTTGGTGTCGGTTTGGAACGGCTGGAGCGTCCAGAGGCGTGACGGTGTGAGTAATGCCCGGTGCAGCGTGTGCTGTGAACACCATGGTCGAAGCAGGGCCTCCAGCACTGCCATCAGCCGGCCTGCACCGAGCTACAGCTATCATCTGACATTGTCCTGTTGCCGGAGCGGATGCCGGGCTGCCGGCTTGGCCGGTAGGCGAGAGGGTGTGCTGACGACGATTCTGGCGATATTTCTGCTTTCCGGCAATACGCATGATCGTGCAGGGTATGACGATGAAGCCAAACAGAACAAACAGTACTCCAACAATGATGCCGGCAATGCCTCCGCCGGAGATGGTGGTAGTTACTCCGGACGTGATGATCTGTGGACCATTGGCGTAGATATCTGCAAAGATTGGTAAATGGGAAAACGGGAAGAGCGGATGTCAAACCTAAAGGGCTTGCAAGGCAGCTAGCATGAAAGACGGGGGGGGGGGGGGGGGGGGGGAGGGAGGGAGAGAGCGCTTAGAGCTCAGTGCTCATACTTCCCAAAAAGCCCAATGCATGCATCTAGAGACGTAAAATTATTTCAAACTGGTGGGGTTATGGGCTCCAATTAACCGCAACGTTCAGGACGTAAGCTTTGTCAACTGACGACAGCACTATCCGGTTGCATTTCTATCGTCACCGGGCTGAACCACATTATACATCATAATTCTAATGCTATGAGCGACTTGTGGACCAAAGTTCTGTTGGGTTCCGAACAACTGAGTGTTTAATCTCCTAGCCAAGACCAATTCTATTTTCATGTGCTACTGTCGATGCACAGTAGCGTATACCTTGGTGTGCTTCGCTTGGTGGAATTCTAACCTGTTCGTTCTTCAGCACACGTTATTCGGCGCCCGGCAGTACGGTATACACGACGATATTATATTATGGATCAAAAAAATACGTTTGTGACCGGACAGGAGAAACCAGTACCACTCAAGTTGCCTGAAAAAGCTTCAATGCACAATCAAAAGGGGGAAAAGGTCGAGAATTGTGACTGAGAATGGTATGCTCGCCTCATCAAGGTAAATTCATCCGCAAAGGCTGCCCAGCAACGGAATCCCAAACTGTATTGTCTGGGAAATGGGTACTCACCGTTGTCATCCTGACACTGCGTGCCGGAATACCCTGAATAGCACTGGCATGACCTGGTCCCAGAGGCAGTGGTGCTGCACTCTCCGTGATAGCTGCAGTAGCTGAGTGAACAACCTGCAGCAACCAACAGACAGTGGAATACAAGGGGAAATACATGAAGGTGACTCAACTCGATACACGGTATCTATACTGCGTACGTGATTTAAAATACGTGAAAAACTGCAATTTGACAATATCCATGAAGTGTCCCAAGTATGTTGATGACAACGACGGTAAAAGGGGGGAGAATGACAAAGACGAGGACGGCAACCGCATCAACAATAACAACAGCAACCACGGCATGAAAATATAACTTTGAAAGCCCTTGAATTACAAAGAAAGAAGGGCAAACCAACAAAAAGCAAGAAAGAGAAAAGGAGACATGGATAGAGAGTGCGATCTGTATTTGTATAGACAGGTAAGTCTAATGAGAGATGAGTTCGAGATCGAGAGAGAGAGAGAGAGAGAGAGAGAGAGAGAGAGAGAGAGAGAGAGAGAGAGAGAGAGAGAGAGAGAGAGAGAGAGAGAGAGAGAGAGAGAGAGAGAGAGACAGACACACACACACAGATAGAGAGAGAGACATACAGAGAGAGAGAGAGAGAGAGAGAGAGAGAGAGAGAGAGAGAGAGAGAGAGAGAGAGAGAGAGAGAGAGAGAGAGAGAGAGACCAGGAGCATAACCAGGATCATGGTCAAGGGGGGTGTCCATAATTTTCTTCCAAAAACGTTCTTTTGAGGAATCTTGTAGAGGCGACGGTTTCAAATAGGACACAGGTTGGAAACCGGAACGGACTCAATATTCACTTTCTCTCTTGGTATTTTGGATACAAAACATATTATGTCACAGTGAGACTACGATGTGTTATACTCCGAGCCAAAATTTCATGGCTCTGCGATGACCAGAAGCGCCATACCAAGCAGGTGAGTTTTTGACGTGTTGCTTCGCACTGCGACTTGAGTTTTACGATTTTCGAAAAATCAACTTCTTGTCGCAGGTAAACAGCGGCTCACCTCTCGCCAATAAAGCACCACATACCAATGATAACTAATGGAAGCACACACAAGGCTTATTGTTACTCTGTACTGGCCGTCGTGGAGCGATAGCAATTACCTAATTTCAGACCCAGAGTGAATTTGACGTGCACTCTAAAACGTGTCCGGTTTGGAGCCACCTCTGATTTGACCTTTTTTGAAGCGAAAAATTGGGCAACTTGGAGGCAATGCGTCAACACAAAGGAGTGGCTCAGTTCGATTAAGTCTGGCCCCAGAGCAAACTTCAACATGCCAGTTTCCTTCCACAAACATATTTCGAGTGAAAAATCAACGCTGATGATCGGTTTGGGTCTATACAAATTTGGCTGTCAAAGCGTCCCGGTATCGAACCGTCTACTCTACATGTATGCATATTGTATGCATGCTAGTGCGGTGTACACCTTGAATTATTTATGTATTATGAATGTCTAGACGTCTCCAGATTGCCATTCCAACAATCTACTTCCTCCGCGTCATAAAAAATTGTTGCTTCCCAGAGAGATTTTTCGAATTTATTTTGTCCACTCGAGGGGCAAAGAAATCAGCTAGAAATTGAGGCAGAGCATTGTCGACGGACCAAGCTTTAGTTTGTGGCCTCCCGCTTCGCTGCAGTTGCAGCTAAGGTCGACGTCTTCATCAGAGTTTGAGGCAGACCCTTCAGCACTCAACAATACGCTGAAGAAGACACGCGTTCAAATTCAGGTCAAGAAACTTCGTTTTCAAGCGATCCATGCCTCCAGGTGGCAGGGGATGAAGGCAAGCTAGCATTTTTCAAGTACACTGTAACGATCTTCCAGCGGGGTAGGGTAAGCAGTTCCGCACCTTCTTTCCTTGGCAAGCGCTTCGCTGATTTTGTTGGTGTTTTCAGACCTGCTACCTTCGCAGCAACATGCGCCACAAGTAGCGCATTTTAGGAATTTCGGACCACCTTGTTCATGGAGTAACTACTACTTGCACACTGACTGCAACGGAAAAGTGCAAGCACGTGTAGTACAATGCAGTACTCGCAGATCTACGTAGCATGCACCCAGTCTGGGCTAAGGACAGTCGCGGTTGTTTGATAATACTAGTACAATGCATTCCAAGCCAGCCCCATGGTCGAAATTTTTGATGGGGGTGCTTTGGCACCCAAAGACCGACAGACAGACAGAGACACAGAGAGAGAGAGACAGAGTGAGAGACATAGAGAGAGAGAGAGAGAGAGAGAGAGAGAGAGAGAGAGAGAGAGAGAGAAAGAGAGAGAGAGATAGAGAGAGAGATAGAGAGAGAGACTGACAGACTGACAGACAAACTCAGAAACATTTATGCACACAAGTGGACGGTCTTTTAACACATACTCTAGGCAAATCTTGATTCTCATACTTACTATCACTGACTATATCAGAGGGCACAGAGTGGGCCAGTGT